GCTAGTTCAGAAGGAAGACTGTTGCTAGTTCAGAAGGAAGACTGTTGCTAGTTCAGGAGGAAGACTGTTGCTAGTTCAGGAGGAAGACTGTTGCTAGTTCAGAAGGAAGACTGTTGCTAGTTCAGAAGGAAGACTGTTGCTAGTTCAGAAGGAAGACTGTTGCTAGTTCAGAAGGAAGACTGGTGCTAGTTCAGAAGGAAGACTGTTGCTAGTTCAGAAGGAAGACTGTTGCTAGTTCAGAAGGAAGACTGGTGCTAGTTCAGAAGGAAGACTGTTGCTAGTTCAGAAGGAAGACTGTTGCTAGTTCAGAAGAAAGACTGTTGCTAGTTCAGGAGGAAGACTGTTGCTAGTTCAGAAGGAAGACTGTTGCTAGTTCTGAAGGAAGACTGTTGCTAGTTCAGAAGGAAGACTGTTGCTAGTTCAGAAGGAAGACTGTTGCTAGTTCAGAAGGAAGACTGGTGCTAGTTCAGAAGGAAGACTGTTGCTAGTTCAGAAGGAAGACTGTTGCTAGTTCAGAAGGAAGACTGTTGCTAGTTCAGAAGGAAGACTGTTGCTAGTTCAGAAGGAAGACTGGTGCTAGTTCAGAAGGAAGACTGTTGCTAGTTCAGAAGGAAGACTGTTGCTAGTTCAGAAGGAAGACTGGTGCTAGTTCAGAAGGAAGACTGTTGCTAGTTCAGAAGGAAGACTGTTGCTAGTTCAGAAGGAAGACTGGTGCTAGTTCAGAAGGAAGACTGTTGCTAGTTCAGAAGGAAGACTGTTGCTAGTTCAGAAGGAAGACTGTTGCTAGTTCAGAAGGAAGACTGGTGCTAGTTCAGAAGGAAGACTGTTGCTAGTTCAGAAGGAAGACTGTTGCTAGTTCAGAAGGAAGACTGTTGCTAGTTCAGAAGGAAGACTGGTGCTAGTTCAGAAGGAAGACTGTTGCTAGTTCAGAAGGAAGACTGTTGCTAGTTCAGAAGGAAGACTGTTGCTAGTTCAGAAGGAAGACAGGTTATTCAAGTTACTTGAAAGACTGGAAGTTTCAGTTTAGTACATAAATATATTGAATAAAGGTAAGAGTATTCTGGGATATATTTCTAGATGTTGTAGCACCAATATATCTAATAGAATTGTTCACCTTGCTCCTGCCCTTGTTGAGCCCCAGTTGGATTATACTGTTCATTGTTGGTCTCTGTATTACGGAATGAACATAAGTTCACTTGGTCTTGTTCAGAGAATAATAACAATCAATAACAGGAATTAGAAACCTCCTTTATGAAGAGAGATTAAGAAAAACTAAATTCACATTCTCTATAAAGTCGACGAATAAGGGGCGAGATTATTTAAATATATAAATAGATAGATGGGATATAAATAAGGTTTTAAATACAAAAAATTAAGGTAACATTGGATATAAATTGGACAAGTTTATATTCATGAAAGACCTGTGTCAATGTTCGTATGGAAACGGTTGTTGATTTATGCACAAATTATCAGGTAAGACAATAGGTGTGGGATCGGCGGATTGTTTCAAGCGTAGGTTAGACACACGTGAATGAGTTTGGGAGAATATAAATGGGAGCGGTGTGGTAAGGAAGAATGGGTGCTATGCAGTTCATGTTATTCTTATGTTGTTATATAGTACTATGTGAGATACCCCAGATCAGTATCTGTGTCTGTCTCTCTCTCTGCGTGTTTACTTATGTGTCTTCCTCTTTCTCTGTATTGACCTAGTTGTGCTTGTGGGGGTTGAGCTCTGCTCTTTCCGCCCGCCTCTCAACTGTCAATCACTCAACTGTTACTACCTAACTAACTCCCCCCCCCCCCACACACACACACCCAGGCAGCAGCCAGCAACAGTCGTCTAACTCCCAAGTACCTATTTACTGCTAGGTAGCCTCCATATACGCCTCTAGGCGGCCCTTTATGTGTCTCTAGGCGGCCCTTTATGTGCCTCTAGGCGGCGCCTTTATGTGCCTCTAGGCGGCCCCTTTATGTGCCTCTAGGCGGCCCTTTATGTGCCTCTAGGCGGCCCTTTATGTGTCTCTAGGCGACCCTTTATGTGCCTCTAGGCGGCCCTTTATGTGTCTCTAGGCGACCCTTTATGTGCCTCTAGGCGGCCCTTTATGTGCCTTTAGGCGGCCCTTTATGTACCTCTAGGCGGCCCTTTATGTGCCTCTAGGCGGCCCTTTATGTACCTCTAGGCGGCCCTTTATATACCTCTATGTGGCCCCTCTATGTGCCTCTAGGCGGTCCTTTATGTACCTCTAAGCGGCCTCTTACGTACCTCTAGGCGGCCCATTATGTACCTCCAGGCGATCCATTATGAACATCAAGGCGACCCATTATGCACATCAAGGCGGCCCTTTATATGCCTCTAGTCGGCCCTTTATGTACCTCTTGGTGGCCCTTTTTGTAACTCCAGAAGACCCATTATGTACCTCTAGGCGCCTCTTTATGTACCTCTAGGCGGTCCTTTATGTACCTCTAGGTTGTCCTCTATGTACTTCTCGGCGGTCTTTTATGTACCTGTAGGTGGCCCCATTATGTACCACTAGGCGTCTCTTTATATACCTCTAGGCGGCTCTTTATCCTTTAAACTGCGCATGGCGTATATATACGCCCTGAGTAACATGTCCCATGGTGCGCATGGCGTATATATACACCCTGAGTAAC